AAAAACCATGGTTAATTTAGCAAATGTCCTTAAAAGAACAGCTCATCCAAACAAAAAGAAAAGTTCTCTCATTATTTAGCCTACTCACCCTCATGTTGAAACTGTATGAGTTTCTTATGTAGAACCATAATTAAGATATCTTGAGAAATGCCTTATTTGTTTTTGTTTTTCTCATACAGTTGTTTTATTCCCAACATTCTTGTGTTTCACAAAAGTAAGTTAGACATTTATTTTTGGGTCAGCTAGGCCTGTATAAACTCAAGAAGATAGAAGATAAAACATTGTCTGGAGGGTTTGAACCAGTGTGCCTTTGAGCAGAGTGTCCATGTTCTGCCTCTATTTCACGTGTATTTTATGACAATACTCACCATCTGAAGATCGTGTGGCTGGATAATATTTAACGTTACTCCCAAAATGCCTGGATCATGAAGGAAACACACACAGCAATATTAGCTATTTGTTTTTACTTAGGCTACTAACAGAGACATTTGCAAAAGCTTGCAAAATTGACTCACCAGCTCCAAGACAATAACGTTAGGCCTAACTTTAACGTTAAATCCGCGATCAACAATTTAAAAGCCTAGTTTGCAGATTCTTCTAGACTCGAGTAAAGGAGTGTGGTTCGAGTTCTTCTGTCTAAAGAGACAATGTTCTCAGTTCACTCATTGTAAAGCTCCAATGCTGAGTTTTATTTTATTTTTTTATCATAAACTAAGTTAGCTGACAATACACATGCTAGCTCAGCACATAATTAGCCTAATACATTGGAATACCGTACTAATATCAATATTTCTCTAATCGCGTTTAGATTCTCCATTTAATACACTATATTTTGATGTATTAGAATTTGTATAAAATAAAAAGTTATTTACGTTACCTTCCGTAGATTGCAATATGTCCATTATTCGTTGTCCATATTCCTTGTTTGTTCTTCATTTACATCCCGCAACTCGCTCAAAATAAACATTTAGCAGTCCGATGTAAAATAATCCATGTTTTAAACAATGTAAAAGCCACAAAACCGAAGTAGGTCCCGAGCAGCAGCACACACACCCACTCACTTCAACTGACGTATTCAAACTTGACTGGTAAAGGCGCGCATAGTTGTCATTGGCCAGATTCCTGGATGACAGTCAGAATAACCAATCATGCTCAAAACAACTCGGAGAGACAGCCAATAGTGTGAAAACATTGCAATAACAGGACAATATGAAATGTTTTAAATGAAAGAATAGGAAAAAAATATACACGTGCTATTTAGTTGTATTTGTAGGCTGGCTGTTATATTTAATCAATTGTTTAAATGTGTTTTCATTGCAGTGTATGATTAAAAATGAAAGATAAAAAATGAAAGATAAAAAATGAAAGATTAAACAGTAACTTGTATACCATATATAATAACATTTATTTATCACTGTTCTGATAAACAGCAATTTAATAGAGCAAACAGTATAATTAAACAGAGCAAACACTGCATATCCATTCATATACAATTCTGTATGACGTATGTGAAAAACTAATGGATTGGTATCATGGTGGTGACATTAGAGTTACATTCATGTGACCCATAATGACCCTTTTGCACTTTCACAAATTCTTGACCTTTCCTTTAGAAACACTCTAATGCCTAATAAATGTCAACATGCTTTGTGGTACTGTTACACAACATGTTGGTTTAGGGTTAATCCCTCTGTCCAACGCAACACTTGCTAACATTGGTATAATTAAGTTACAACATAATACCCTGGGTTTCACAGGCAAGGCTTAAAGGAGAACTCCGGTGCAAAATGAACCTCGGGTCGGGTGTAATAACACATTGGTACAGACTAAATCGTTCCCTGAGATTTGTTTTCATGATAATCGAATATAAAGAGTTTTATCTCTAAAAACAGTTTAGCTTATAACGCTAGTATATTGGCATAGAGTAAGCAAAAAGAGATCGCTAGTTAATACCACTAACAAGGCTCAAATTAGCCCCACACTAACACGGCAGCATAATGAGGGTCCTTACATGCAAACTGAAGCATTGAGAACTTTGTAAGTGTATAGACAGTTTAATAAGAAGATACTTTACACAGACAGTACAGTTAGCGCATACAGACAGGAGCCATCTTGGAAAACAGTCTCGACCAATCGAACCACGAGGGTGAGCGAACAGTACGTGTAGATATTGAAGATAAGATAAATTATATTTATTTTTTTATTTTCTCTGTTGCGTTAAGTGCTTCTCTTACGCGCTCAGTGCTTTCTTCCGGAAACAACGGACCATATGAGATTCCAAGTCACAGTTCAGCTCACGTATCACCGTGTTCGTGGTTTGACTGATCGAGACTGTTTTCCAAGATGGCTCCTGTCTGTATGCGCTAACTGTACTGTCTGTGTAAAGTATCTTCTTATTAAACTGTCTATACACTTACAAAGTTCTCAATGCTTCGGTTTGCATGTAAGGACCCTCATTATGCTGCCGTGTAAGTGTGGGGCTAATTTGAGCCTTGTTGGTGGTATTAACTAGCGATCTCTTTTTGCTTACGCTATGCCCAATATACTAGCGTTATAAGCTAAACTGTTTTTAGAGATAAAACTCTTTACATTCGATTATCATGAAAACAAATCTCAGGGAACGATTTAGTCTGTACCAATGTGTTATTACACCCGAGGTTCATTTTGCGCCGGAGTTCTCCTTTAAGCCTGTAGTCCAGACTAAAATGCACGTTTGAGCTGTATTACCTGAAAGCAACTTGTAGGCTATACTGACATATCTTATGTCAGTGCCATTGTTTTGTCTCAAGATGCACACCAGTAATGTTTTTTTCTTCTAAGGTACATTTTTAAAAGCTATAATTGAATGCCCAAATTTAACTAAGGCCTAATCCTGGCTTTATATCTAAACCCTGTCTGTGAAACCGGGGGTTAGAAATTAAGGGGTTAACCCTAACCTTAACCCTTGTCTACAGACTTTTATTTAACAGCATGGATACTCCAAGGTGTTGACTGCAGTGGTTAGGTCTTTAGCATTTATAAAGGACAAAGATCTTCTCACTGTGACAGTCTGTAATGTATTTTAGCAATGATTGTTTGTAAGGATTGTCCCTAAAATAGAGCTATTGATGCATTCAAGACATGTCATAAAGATCGTATTTACGAATTGAACACACATGAACGCAACCACAATGATGAACATAGGAAGTTATTTACTGTAAAATTAGGATATTTTTTTTACAGTGCAGTATGAACATCTGTTCTGAACTAGTTCTGGCTGTCAGTGGACGTTTAGATAATGGCCAGATTGGACATCTTTTATTTACGTAATTTATTGACTGTTTCTGGATGTCAACGGACGTCCAGATTATAGTCAGTATGAACGTCTTTTCTCAACTAGTTCTGGCTGTCAGTGGACGTTTAGATAATGGCCAGATTGGACATCTTTATTCACGTCATTTATGGACCATTTCTGGATGTCAACGGACGTCCAGATTATAGTCAGTATGAACGTCTTTTCTCAACTAGTTCTGGCTGTCAGTGGACGTTTAGATAATGGCCAGATTGGACATCTTTATTCACGTCATTTATGGACCATTTCTGGATGTCAACGGACGTCCAGATTATAGTCAGTATGAACGTCTTTTCTCAACTAGTTCTGGCTGTCAGTGGACGTTTAGATAATGGCCAGATTGGACATCTTTATTCACGTCATTTATGGACCATTTCTGGATGTCAACGGACGTCCAGATTATAGTCAGTATGAACGTCTTTTCTCAACTAGTTCTGGCTGTCAGTGGACGTTTAGATAATGGCCAGATTGGACATCTTTATTCACGTCATTTATGGACTATTTCTGGATGTCAACGGACGTCCAGATTATAGTCAGTATGAACGTCTTTTCTCAACTAGTTCTGGCTGTCAGTGGACGTTTAGATAATGGCCAGATTGGACATCTTTATTCACGTCATTTATGGACTATTTCTGGATGTCAACGGACGTCCAGATTATAGTCAGTATGAACGTCTTTTCTCAACTAGTTCTGGCTGTCAGTGGACGTTTAGATAATGGCCAGATTGGACATCTTTATTCACGTCATTTATGGACCATTTCTGGATGTCAACGGACGTCCAGATTATAGTCAGTATGAACGTCTTTTCTCAACTAGTTCTGGCTGTCAGTGGACGTTTAGATAATGGCCAGATTGGACATCTTTATTCACGTCATTTATGGACCATTTCTGGATGTCAACGGACGTCCAGATTATAGTCAGTATGAACGTCTTTTCTCAACTAGTTCTGGCTGTCAGTGGACGTTTAGATAATGGCCAGATTGGACATCTTTATTCACGTCATTTATGGACCATTTCTGGATGTCAACGGACGTCCAGATTATAGTCAGTATGAACGTCTTTTCTCAACTAGTTCTGGCTGTCAGTGGACGTTAAGATAATGGCCAGATTGGATATCTTTATTCACGTCATTTATGGACTATTTCTGGATGTCAACGGACGTCCAGATTATAGTCAGTATGAACGTCTTTTCTCAACTAGTTCTGGCTGTCAGTGGACGTTTAGATTATGGCCAGATTGGACATATTTTTTTAAGTCATTCATCGACTAATTCTGGATGTCACCGGACGTCCAGATTATAGCCAGTATGAACGTCTTTTCTCAACTAGTTCTGGCTGTCAGTGGACGTTTAGATTATAGCCAGATTGGACATAATTTCTCATTGTCATTAATCAACTAATTCTGGATGTCAATGGACGTTCAGATTATGGCCTGGACGGACGGACGTGATATCAACCTGTTTTGTATGTCCACAGACGTCGCTTGCTCAGTGGGAAAGGTTGAGAAGCACTTTTCTGAAACATAATTTCAAAGTAGGCGCTCTTGTTTGTTTACGCGTTATTCGCCATCGTCTCTTTGTGCGTAACAAGACGCACAGTTTAACGCGAGAAAGATCGCTGGGTAATTAAATCATACAGTAAGTGGTTAATCGTGAACGTGAGAAGAAAGTCCACACACGGTGTTGCGCTGGAGTGGAATACGGTTATTGGGGTCCGTCACTCATTCTCTCTCGCGCGCGCGTCCGCGGCTCTCAGAGGAAGCTCGTGCTGAAAGAACGGCTGGGAGCGCAACACACAAGGACGCAGCGCGAGAGAGGACAGCACGCGCAAAGAGGTGCACCTGTAAATCCACGCTGTTCACTCGCCGGTGTGCGGATAGTGTGAGAGCATCCAGAAGAGATATTCTACACCCCGCGCATACCCATGCTTGGGATTTGGCTTTCTTTTTCTTCGCTAATGCAAAAGGAAATATGCAGCGAAGCCTCACACTGCTCTGCACCAGTTTTCTGGGATTGTGCTTCGGTTCCAGTTTCCCAAGTAATATCAACATAGGTGAGTGAATTACTAAAGTGAAGGCTGGAGTGTAGAATGTTGCGTTATGATTTATTTATTTTTTAAATGGAGAAATACTCGTAATTATGGTTTTAGTAAATTTACTTATTTTACCAGAAAACTGCTTGTGTTGTTTTAACGTAATCTCCAATTTATCTTTCCCCACAGGAGGATTGTTCCCAACCGAATCACACGAATATGAAGTGTTTCGGTTTGCGCTCTCGCATCACCAGGATATCCCTAAACTGGTACCTCAAGTGGATATGGTCAAAATGGGGAATAGCTTCTCCATGACATATGCTTGTGAGTACAACCCATTTTTACAGTGTAGAGAAAATGTGTGTAGTGAATATCAACACACTGCAGCTGCTGTTCATGTCTATCTGTTGCGTTGATGGCAGAATGATAAAATGAAGAAGTCTGTATGTGAAAGTTTTGTCTCCCTGTTGCGCATACAACGCGGAGATTAAATCGATCTTATTTGTATTAAACACTAATATATCTAGCATGGCAATCGTTTTTGAATGTATTATTGATAGGCCTATGATTCACAACTACATAAAGTGCATGGTCCAGACGCAAAACAATGCGTGTTACGCCGAACGCGCGTGTGGAATGTGGTTGGAAAATAAACCAATTATCAAATTAAACACATTTTAATCCACAGATGTATGTATTTTTTTTTTATTTTTATTTTTATACTGTACGTGCAATTAATCTCAATTATGCGTCATGGATGCGAGCGCCTCGTTGCTGATACATCATGAAACCGTTATGTTATGCTTATAATGCGGATCATTATGAATTAATATCTATTTTGCGGATTTTTTTGAGGATTGTCGGTCAGTTATGTTGGGTCATTTTGTGATTAAGTAGCTTGTAAGATATTTGTGTTTCTAGTCTTAAAGGCAGCTTTACAGAACAGAGGATCAAAGCCCTGTTAATGAAAACAAGCGTTACTAGCAATGAATTGATTAATCAATGACTTTCAAGCTCTTTAGGCTCACGAAGATGTCTAACAGCAGGAATATAGTAGGGATATAGACCGGGGATGTGAAATCTCTCTCTCTCTCTCTCTCTCTCTCTCTCTCTCTCTCTCTCTCTCTCTCTCTCTCTCTCTCTCTCTCTCTCTCTCTCTCTCTCTCTCTCTCTCTCTCTCTCTCTCTCTGTCTGTCTGTCTGTCTGTCTGTCTGTATCAGTGATTCCCAATCAGGAGTAGCCTTCTTTCATTTATAAATAAAATTCATTGTTAGATCTTTCTTTGAGAATGCTTTTATGTGCACCTAGAAATGCTTAAAAATACAATCTCAGTTGTATTAGAAAGTACTTAAAGTATTGATCATGTTATGTTTGAAAGTGAATCATTGTAATAATTGCCACTTAATGATAATGCTGAGTGATGTATACAGTATAAAATAATGTGATTCTTATGATTTCTGAGCCTTACTCATTGGAGAATGTAAGACAAAAAAAGGTTGGGAAACATTGCTCTATATCCGTCGTTCTCAGCTTCTTTTTCCCAACAATGCATCAAAGAATATATAGAGAGAATAGAGTTTAGAGAGTTTTTAAAAATATGACGCAAACTAGACACTAGGTAGATGTCTTTCAGCTCTGTAGCATTTTAAATATTCTTTGTTCTGTAATAATACTGAGAGGACATCAAAGATGTTCACATAAGGATTCGTCTCCCCCGGGCTACCAATATTTCTTTTTTTAATGTGAATTTTGAGCTACGCATAGACCCTCCTGCCTCATCCTCTATTCATGCATTCTGTGTGTGCCCATCCATCAGCTCCTCATGCCTTCTCTCTGGTCTTGAGGAAAACCAATCAGATGAAATGAAAACAATTGCATAATGGCCTTATTAACAGATATTAGGATGCAGATCCAAACACTAATGTGAGGGTCCCCAAACAGTGCAATTAAACTTCATCCACTGATTCTGTCAGAGCTGGAGGTGTGCGGTGGGATTTGTAATGGAGTGAAAAGACAAATCAGTCCCTCTATGAATTTCATAGGGTTTTCTCAGGTGGAAAATTCAACATGCTCATTAGTCAATGATGTTCTTGCACTTTTTCCTCACTGTCTTCCTTTTTTTCCCTCAAGATAAGACATTTGTTATTCACTGACCCATTATGAAGCTCAGTCATATTTAAACGGTGCAGCAGTTTGTCCCGGATAATCGAAGGTCTCTTGTATTGCTCTGCTGTGCTCCCGTCCTGATCTGTTGCATGGTGAATGGGCAGCCCTCACGCAATGAGCTGTGAGAGGAATGCTGTGAAGGCCCCGACTCTGTGTATAGCTGAATGCCCTCTTGTGCCATGGACTGAATGCGACGCCTGAAGAAAGTTACCCTCAGTTGCTCCCCCTCTGTGTGGGCTCAATCCTTAGAGCAAATCATCCCTGTCAGCACCTGCCAGGGTGAACCAGAGGGGGGTGAGTAGACAGAAAAGGGGGTAGGATTTGTTTTGGGGCAAAGGTTGATTAAATAAGAAGTGGTGTGGCACCTAGGAAAGCACAGTTTTATTAATAATTGAAAACTGTAATGAGTGCAAACCTACCCCTCATGTTCTCTTTGCTACTAAAAGGTGATTTTAGTAGCTAATGTTAAAAATGTATTTTCCTAACATTGATATTTTAGGTTAATACTTACCAATCATAAGTGAAGTGATGATAAATTATCAATATCACACGAGTAGCTGTGCGATATGGCTGTAGCACGGCTGTGGCCGAGTGCTGTCATCACAGCGTGCTGAGTGTGATATTGCGTTTATACAACAGTTCGACGGCACATATGAGTAAATAAATATGAAACAACAACAGAGTGTTTTTAAATCCCTCTTTTGCGCAGAACTACTTCCTTCCATCATGGATTCAAATCTCAAGTTGACAGTTTTGAGCCCAAGCCTCCGTTACAAATTCTAAAACGTCCCTTTAGAGCTACTGTAGTAATGAAGGAGTCACTTCATTGAAGCTTGTTGTATTATAGAGTATAGTATTATGGTATTATGAGAGAGAGATGTCTCATACACACTAAACGAGTGTATTACTGCATCTGATATAGCATTCATTCTTCAGGTCGATGACGATGTCCATAATATTATATCCAAAAAATCACTTTGAATGTCCCTCAGGAAAGCAATATGTTCGTCTTTGTCCTTCGCATGACAGCGCTAAAACAACTTCCTTGTTTTGACTCGTAAAGCCGCCATCTAATGGCATAATAATGTAACTCACTGAAGTCCATATCATGATCCTTTATCAAATATGGCATATTATTTATATAAAATTGAATTTATTGAACAACAATATTTAAATTAACATTTTTTTTAAAGACAATAGGAAATAAACACAAGCAAACAATTCAGTAACTTACAAGCAGCTCTCTAGTACAGGATTTAAGTGAAATATAGCCTAAATATAAAGTTATGAAACTTAATTTTCCCCTTAACCAAAATTGATTTGTTCTGGAACAAGTAATAGATTAATAAGAACAAAGATTGCCCGTTTAATATACCCCACATTAATTATATCTCATGTTTAACCACTATCTACATAAGAGCCAGCGGCAAATTCCTGAAGGACTGCATGGCCAAGATGACGCTGTTCTCTGCGGGAACATGAGCGCTGAACGGCCGCTGACGGCCTGGAGCTCGCATCTGCGAAAGTGTCTAAACAGATTGTAAAATAAATAGGCACTATGATTATATATTAGTCACATACTTGAGGTCTAAATAACTACATTCTTGCCTAAAAAACTCTTAAAACTGCATTTCGTGACACAACAACAGTAGGCCTACTTTTTTTTTTTAAATATGGTGGATTTGCTCAACCACCATAACAGTCGACACAAGCGGAGTGATACAAATGGTGAAACGTTAGAGTGCTTTTACTGGGTGAATAATGCACGGCGAACTGTTGTATAAACAATGATAAAACTCTCATTCTCCATTTAAAGTGTTATTAATGTTGGGGTCTAAGAGACCCCTGATATAAAACATGAATGAATGCAGTTCAATTAATTTTATATTTCTTTAGTGTGTTTTTAGTTACATTTCTGAAAAGTGGACATTTAGGCTACTTTGTGGTAAAAAAGCAGGATAAAGTCACAATAATGTTTGCTTACTGGGATTTGATTTAGTAAGAGAAATGTATTGAAATAACTTGAAGTTTGAAATTAGTTTTATTATTTTTACCCTAAAAAAATTGTGGTTTCCGGAGAGCATCAAAATCAATAACAGAACCTGACGGTTAAGACTGTCTTTTGTGATTTTGAAGTTTGGAATGTTGTTGTGCTGCTATTGTTCATTGTTATATGAAATACAGCATCAGCTGAAAATAATATCTCTGTTGATTTCCATGTTTGATTTAATTGCTGCTGTAGTCTTGTTGTTGTAGTCATGTGTTGGATGGTTTCTGATAACTCTTATTATATTAAATTTAAATATCCTGTATATTTAGAGAGGTAATATTAATCAGATTGCCTCATGGGAAAAAAAAGTAATTAAAATAGATGATAGATAAATTGATAAACAGGACCACCTGTTTCAAACACTCTCCCACTTTCCAGGAATAGACACGTTTCACTTCCAATTTCAGAAGAATGTGTAATGGAATTTATTCAATGACCCCCAACCGTCTTGCTGACATTTGAAGTCCTCACAGTTAATGGTGGATACCTTTATTTGATCCGTGAGCAGAATTAGAGCTGATCAATAGCTGGACCCCATGCAAAGGCTCCACAATCAATATGAGATGCTCACCGATTCCTGCATCCAAAGACTCAAGAGCCCACTTAAAGATCTATGGGAGAGTGTGCTTTCATAGACCTCCAAGAAAGAAAGCCTTCAGACCAGAAGAATATTAGCACGCTTCTGGACAAAGAACCGAACCGAGTGTATTTACTGTTGCTATTATTGGATCTGCGCTGAGCAAAGTCTCATAATATAATGCTCTAAATGAAACATCTGTTTTTTTACTGCTCTGCTGCTGTTGAAGAGTACTATGTTCGTGTGTTTCCTTTTATTTGGTGTTTCAAAGTTTGTAGTTTACACCATCGCATCTGATGTGATTGCTCTTGGGAGATGGCTGTAAACATGCATCAGAGTATCTCAGTATAAGCAGCAGCGGCTTCTGTCATAAGCCTGAAATGTCTTTCAGCACTTCACACTGAGAAGAAAATAATAACCCTCTGCAGCATGTCGTACAGTCACAGAGAAATGTGTACCGTAGTGAACATCTAGGATTGTGAGTGTTGGGAGAGGTGGCTCCGGGGTATTGTGTTATTGTGTAACAGGAGA